CACAGATGTTGGTGTTTGTTATTCTTCGCTCTAGAAAATAATCGGGGAATGGACCATGACCCGTTATAAATCTGGTGATGTGTGGCTGAGATATCTGTCTCTCAAGGCTGACTTTGTGAGCGAATTCGTAGGTCCTTCTTCCTTGCGGAATAGAATTCCACTCTTCCTGCCATTGCTTGAGTGCGGCGTTTAGAACAGCCTTCTTTACATAGGATTTTGGTAATTTTATTGCCAGTTGTTCCGCATCGAGATTGCTCGCGGCTTCTTTGGCTAGTAAATCTGCCTCCTCATTCCCCTGGTGTCCAGCGTGTGCTTTAATCCAGAAGATGAGGATGCGTCCTTCGTACTGGTGCAGGGTTTGCTGAATGCGCCCTATGATGGGCGACCTGTGAAAAGGATTCCGAATTGCATGAATTGCTGACAGGCTGTCGGTGTGTATTTCTGCGGTGGAGTAGCTAAATTGACTCGCTGCTAGGATTGCCTGGCGTATGGCTTCGGCTTCCGCCTGAAAGACCGAGTTGCCTGCGCCCAGAAAGCCTTTCCAAGACCTTAAGGTGCTTCCATTTCGTTTGATGGTATAGCTACAGCCTGTCGTTCCATTCACCTGGGAGCCATCTGTATAAATCTTAAGGGCATTAGAGTGATCGTTGTTGTCTTCAAGCATCGTTGTATAAGCATGGACATTCTTGCAGAAAAGGGCCGGGTGTACTTCCGCAACTTGTAGATTGCTCTCAAAGTCCTCCGGTGAGAAATGGAGGTTCTGGTATTGAGCAGGTTGCTTAAGGAGAGTAACTTTTGCGATGACCGCTTCCATTTGGGCCCGTATGTGCAGTGGAATAAGTCCAGCCAGCACTGTGGCTGCTGCAGTCGCTGTGGTCCTGTAGGCCCTCGTGATGGCCAAAACAAATGGGCGTTGAACGCTGTTCAAAATTTGTTGCTTCCTTGTAGTCATTGGAAGTGCCCATATGGCCGCTCCATAGATAAGTATTTTTTCTACCACTGTGCTGTATATTATCTTTAGGATGTGGGGCCGGAGCCCCCAGTCTGAGCCTTGCATGCCCTTTATTCGGGAGGCTATTCTATGAGCTTTAATGCGTTGAGCTCGCAAATGAGGGAGCCAGGAGAGTTTTTCATCGATTAATAAGCCGAGAAGCTTTAGTTCTTTCACTCGTTTTACTCTCTTTTGTCTAAGGTTAATACATGGATTGCGAAGGAGTGTCTGGCCAGGTTTATGGAATATTATATATTTCGACTTGAGCTCCGAGATTCGTAGCTTCTTTTGGTTGCAGAGCATGTCAAACTGCGAGATAACGTCATTGCAGCGGGCTTCGAGAACGTGCCTGCTGTGTCCTCTGACGATGAATGTAGCATCATCATCTGCAAATGCAAATGCCTTCGCTCCTTCCGGCCACTGAGTGCACAAGATCGAATTGAAAGTCATGTTCCATAGGACAGGACCAGCGCATGATCCCTGTGGACAGCCCCTGGTCTGTTGTCTGGTAATGATTCCTCCGTCGTGCACAACTATGAATTTTCTGTTGCTGAGGTAACTTTTAAAAAACTGTAAAAGATTGTTTGGAATATCAGCTGTGTGCAGGGCTTCGAGCACAGCAGGCCACCACAGGGAATCAAATGCACTTTGGAGATCTAAACTTAGTACTGCTACGTGTTGATTGTTACTGCGAGCTTCCGTGATTTCTTTCTGAAGAAGATCAAGGGCATGGACCGTTGATATGCTTTCCCTGAAACCGAATTGTAGCTGCGACAAGAATTTTTTTCCGGGTGAGGTGATGCTTTAGTCTGGTGACTGCAAGTTTTTCTAAAACCTTCCCTATTGCCGACAACAAGCATATCGGGCGGAAGGAGGGTAGGGTCATTCGGATGCTTCTCAGGTTTGGCAAAGAGGACTACTTGCCCCGTTTTGAATGCCACTGGAAAATACCTGTGCTCCAGCAATTTGTTGAAATACTTGCAAAGGAATCCGGGTTTTGCCTTGTGTACAGCTTTGACTATGCTGTAATCAAGCGAGTCAGGGCCTGGTGCTTTTCGCTTGGGCAGAATACGCATGATAGCGTTGACTTCCGGATCCTGAAAGGGAGGATCGTCAGTTGCCGTCGTGAAGAGCTGGTATGCCAGGTGAGAATTTTCTGTGAATTCCTCCTGACTGTCGTTGGGAAAGACTGCATCCAGGATTTTGGAGAGTACTGCCTCCTTTGTAGTCTCTTGCTCGGGTGGTGAACTGTCAAAAAGGCGAAGCTGTGGCGGTTTAAAGACACTACCTCGTGCTATTTTGAATAGCGCACCATAAATATCGGTGTTATTAGTGCAAAAGTTTCTCCAACACGCAAGCTTTGCATTAAGAATTGCTCTTTTATATTCCGCTTGCGCCTTTCGGTATGAGATGCTGAGTGCCAGCCTAGCTTCCTGGTCGTATTCTGCTTTCATGCGCCTTCTCATTGCGCGTGTTTTACTGCGCTGCGCTCGGAGATCTTTCGTCCACCAGTTCGGCATATGCAGCGTTTTTCCGTGTCTTCAGGGAAAAAGTACTGTTGCAGATGTCCTGTATTGTGGAGATCAGAGAGCTGGTGAACGACTCCAGGTCCTGGGATGTAGTGCATGCTGTGAGATCTTCCTCTGCGCTTCTAAGGGAAAAACGAACTTTGTTTATGAATTGTGCAGTCTTTCGCTTTGTAAGCTTATAGCGCTTGAGGGTCATTCTCGTATGTGGATGGCAAATATTGTAAGTAATATACAAATGATCAGAGTTGGATGGTAAGTCTTGCACCGTCCATTGTTGGATAAATGGGGCCAATGAAGCTGAGGTCAAGGTTAGATCAGGCCAACCCCTACCATGAACCGTTTCATACGTTGGAGGACTGTCTTCAGTGTTGTGCAAAGTTAAATCATTGCTGGCCACGAAATCTTCTATGGTTCTCCCTCTTGCGTCTGTGCTTGGGTAGTTCCAAACTTTCGAGTGCGCATTAAAGTCACCTGCAAGCAGATGTGACGCACTGGGATATTGTACAAGAGTTCTCTGAATTAGTTCCAAGGAGTGTGTCATGTCTTCAGATGGTGAAAGGTAAACATCCGTGATAAGCACATTGATGTTTAATGTCTCTACAGCTATAGTTATTACATCGCGTGAGGCTAGAACGATGGTGGGAGACCATTTCTGTTGGCAGCATATTATTGCCGTTCGCGGGCCTTCGGCAGTATTGCCCTGAAATACAGTCCACGAGAGAGGAAAATCGGACACTCTGTTGTCGTAAAGGTAAGGTTCCTGGGCTAAGATGAAGTCTGTTTCCGTTTCCATGGCGTACTGAATGACTTGCGCCGTTGCTGCTCTAGCTCTTTGCAGGTTAATCTGAACTATTTTTAGTGCACTTTGGTCAATGTGTCGTATGTTGAAATCAGTCATTGGATCTGCTCGTGTAGGGAAATGACCAACAGACGTGTCTTGCGTCTGGGCGTTGACATTATTGTCTGTGTTAATATTCCGTGGCATCTCTGACTCGTTTTGCTGTTCTCTGATACTCAGGACAGGCATGGTGGTAAGCTGGGTGCCTGGTATCGTACTGCATTCCGTGCTTATGATTTGCGTCCCCACAATTGATGCATGCTGGTTTTCGTGCGTGACAGTCTCGCACGTGGTGTGGACCTGCACAGTACGCGCAGTACTGGTATTTGCAAGGACACGAGACTTGTAGGTGGCCAAGCTGTTGACATTTAAAGCAGCGCTTGATCCCGAGATATTCGCGGATGGTGTGTGCATGCCATCCTGTGTATAAATGTCTGATTCGGAGAGCTGCTGCGAAGCTATGCGGGTCACATTCAAAGACCCATTTGACGTTCTTTTCCTTGCGTTCCTTGAGCTTGAAGAGCGGTCTAAAGGTGTTTCTTGGGGCTGCCGTGGCTGTACTGAGTTCATCCACGAGTTCCTCTGGCTTCGTGTCCTCTGCAACATTGTGTACTGTACAACGTGGCTTTCGTCTTGCAGGGTGTTGAAAGTCTGCCGGAATTTCCGCTCTTTGTAATTGTGCCTCCAGGAGTGTGAGGTCATCCGAGGATTTGCAGAACACCTCGAAGCCGCCCTTCTTGTGCACTACAATCTTTTCCACAGCCACTGGAAGTTTAGAAATCGGCGCCTTTGCGCGTAATTCTTCTCTTAGCTCAATGTGTGAAATGTTCTTCTTTGGCGCAATCAGCAAGCTGGGCTGTTTGGTCTGTCTTAATGAGGGACTTCTTTGTTTGAGGATTTCAGCAAAGGTAGGATGAGGAGGAGAAATATGAGATGCTTCTTGCAGTGTGTCTGAGTTAACAGCAACTTCTGCGTTCTTAGTAACCACGTGATCCGTATTGGTTGAGGCTTCCTTGATCTGTGGTGATACCCTACAGAAGGGACCTTCTAGTGCCAGAGACTTAAGGGCCTGTAGTGTTTCCAGTAAGCTACTCCGTATGTATAAGGGAAGCAGAGGTTTCCCTCCTCGTTTTACTTGCGCTATACGAGTGCACTCTGCGTGCAATGTTTCAATCTTTTCTTCGTGAGACACGACACTGGAATTTACTAGAGAATCGAGGTTGGATGTATTTAGAACTGCAGAGGTATCTGTATTAATCATTGTCAGCCGAATTTACACTAAATCACTGAAAAGTAGCACTGCGAAGATCTGTGTTACTGTCACTAGATCAGAGTTCGTCAATAGGCCACTAATTCGCTAGGTCATTAATCACTTATTTTCACCAGGTAATGAGTACTTACGCTGATTCACAGTTCCGAGTGGCACATGTGCAAGGTAGGAGAGTGTTAAGTAAAGGCACAAATCACAGAGTGTCACACGAAATTACTAAATATAACACATATGTATACTAAAATATAGCACAAATACTACAATATATACACTATAATAATACACACCACAGCACAAATACTATAATGTATATACTATTATTATAAACCAAATATTACAATGCGTGTACAGAGGTTACATATAGATGTATATTATTATATATCTATACTAAACACCATAGCACTAATACTACATTATACATATTATTATAATACTATAGTATAAACCAAAAAATAGCAGCTTGTAGTAGTTATTATTTTAATATGAAGTTTCTTTTAAGTTAAGTTAGTATGCCTTTCTTACATTATATATATATGTATAGACAACTGAATTTAAATTGCAAAATTTAAGTGTCTACTGAATATTCCCCGGTTCAAATTAAAGATAAGAAAAAAAAAAAAAAAAGAGAGAGAGAGAACTAGCGTTGTTATGTTTAAGAAATATAAGGGAATCAGTTATAGCTAATTAAAGCTTGTCTAATTAATTAGGATGAATGCAGACAATGACAGTTAATATGCAGAATTACAATAAAAAGCGTACAGTTACATAATCTAAGGCAATACAATTAAATATAAGTGCGTGCAATGAAAGCGCTGCCAACAGTTAGCGTGCACGGGTACAAGGTGACAAGTAAATGAGAAGTGAATGGAATTTACAGAAAACTCATTAATTTCCGTCACAAATGCTAAATGTACGGAACTGAATGCTGTGAAGAAACCAGCCACAGAGCCTATTTCTCATACAATGTATACAATACACAGAATAATTGCATATACAGAAATAAAATCTAAACGAACTTAACAAGGTATGGAAACAGAGTACAATAGATGGCTATCAGTAAATAAGCACAAACAAAAAATTTACAGGAAGATGAAATTAAATAAGTATAAAAATTATAATAATGATGATAAAGTAATAAAAAAAATAAATATAATAGAATAAAAGTTAAATGCACAGTGAAAAACTAGAGCAGGGTTAAAAATTTGGGTGTACTAAAGGCTGGCTAATTACCGTGCAGCTAAGTTCAAATTGTAAACAAAAGCACGTGCAAGACTTCTAGCAACTGCACTCTACTATGCGCGCATGCGCTAGAAGAGCTTGACAAGGAGTTGTCCGACAAGTTCAAAAGGCGACCTGTCCTGCTGGACCGACCCTTCACCGCTGTGTCGTAAAAACGAGCCGGGTGAGGATACCGGGGAAAGAACAAGGTCACACAGGAAAATTGCAATTAAATCTTACGGCGCTCAGTCACTAATTAAGCTAGCAGGACGAATGATACACTGCAAAAAGAAAGGTAATCTAAAAGCCTACCTTATCGTCTAAGAATGGTGTCGATATTCCCACTTAGACCGGAGATAAGGGCAGATTAATCCAGAAGTATGGCACTTTTATGTCGCACAATAAAAACACTGTAATAAATCGCACAAACACTTCACAATCACAGCACTGGTATCAATGAAGAGATCATATCTTCCACTTTCCAATGGTACTAGGATTGAATTGGATGCCTGTAGGTGACAGAGAAATCTTAATAGATGTAAACACCACAAAACGGCACTTCACGGGTCACGGTAACCCTCAGCAGATATCACGAGATCGCGATACGAACAATGACTTCTGCTTTAAAGACTTAATTAATCCACCACTAATAAACGGAATCGCTCCAGATGTATATCAAATTGCTCAGCTTTTGAAGAATTTTAAATTGATATAACTCTTGTGTAAACTATATCAAAACTAACTTAAAATAATAAGGCGAAAAGCGAGCTCGCGAAAACACGTCGTACAGCGTTGACGGGGTAACGGCGGCCTCCACATCTTTACACCAGTAATTCCATGGTTCTTAAGGTATCTGAGTTATGAGTGCGGGAGTTGAATGCGTAACGTTTTCTATCTCTGAAAAAATAATCAGGCGGATTTATATTAGTATCTCTGCATCAAAATCTATATGATTTATGTATTCATTTACATAGTTTAACACAACAAAAAGAGAAAATATATGAGACGGTATTTCAAAAGCATTACACTAGATAACAAGAAATAATGATGCTGGTCAAGCAAAAATACCAAAGGTTTCTATTTAATGAATTCTAAAATACCTTGTACCGAAAGTAATTCTAATTTCTGTAATAAGTTTGAAAGAAAGAAGTTCTCAAATTAGCCTTTTTTTGTCACTTTAAAGTAATAGATGGTAAGGAGCAGATTTTTTTTACCTCTCCGTAGATGGATTACTTCGAATTAAGGAAGCTCTAAGATTTTATAAAAAAGCAATTAAGGACCCTGAATTAAAAAAATGTCACAAATAAAAACCTAATAGGGGAACGGGAAGGAGAAATAATTTCTCTCGACCAACTTCTGGGTGATATTAGTGAAGGGCCCTTGGTTCACTAAGCGAAGTAGTTGATAATTGCTGGAGTTGAACGCATTTAATGGAAGTAGATTTAAATTTTTAATTTCAAGTAAAAAATCACATCTTGCGTTGATCGGAAAAGCATTTTTTCCACTTTCAGATAATCCAGCTTCATCAAAAGTGCAATTAATCAATGGGTGAAAAGCTATTTGTGTTATCTAAAAATTATTTAACCAATTACTCATCTTCTCTTTCACGAAGAGAGAGGGAAATTTCTTAAGAATAACACTATTTACGAGGTTAATTCAACAACTAAGGTCAGAAACTGACATAATATATTTGAAAATAGCAGTCTGCATTTTTAGGATTTTATGTTAATTAACCATTTATTAGGATTTGAAATTTTACCTTAACTTCTTCTTTCCGTACACTTCACCAGAATGATAATTAGTTGTATTTAAACCAAGGTATAAGTGAGGGCTTCTGGCAACCTTCTCTAGCAGGACAAATGTATTCTATCACCAACTCTACCAAAGTTATTTAAGTTTCATCGTTTTGCTACCTGACGCTTAAAACATGCACCGTTAATTATTTTCAGCCAGGTTGAGCTATTTGGTGTGTAGTGCTATTTGTGTATATTCCTACCTATTTCGTGCCTCGTGAGAAATTGCTAGATATTTCGTGTAAGCTACTAGCTATCTCGTGTGTACTTTCAGACTATATTACCTACACTGGAAACTAACTTCATCTTATGTTATTTTAAATACCTGTCAAGTAGTGGATATTCATCTATAGCACTAGCAGTGCCTTCATTTCAAGAGTTAAATAAAAAGGTTGTTTTAACCTTCTTACGACTTGGTCGTTTACTTCAAACTGAAATGATAACTCGATTTTTCAGTTAACTAGCTTCTGTAGAGCATACCCTACATACTTTCCAAGCATTTACTAGTTAGCAGAGCCGTCATAGTTCATGATATTGATGTGTTACTTACTAAGTACCAGTTTCACGTGCGCAGTTCAGTTGGAAAATGCCAGTATAACTCGATGATAGTACTATACAAAAGAGGAACAGCGTGCTGTTATCCGTTTCGTTAGAGGGCAAAAGGACTTTGCGCAGAAGATATTCATAACGGAACATTTCCTGTTTACAGAAAAAAAGTGTCACATAAAGCTATGCACAAGTCGGTCAAGAAACCGCTATGTAGTAGATGATAACGACAT